CTGCAATCGAATCTACGGCAAGATCGCCCAAAAGATCGTCGGCTTCCTAATGGCCATTCACACAGGCATGTTATTCTCTCTCTCTCTCTGTGTGTGTCGGTAACTTATTGCGATGAGCAGGCGATCGACCCATTTGGTTGACACGCTCGGGCCACTGCGACGAGGTGGAGGACCTGGACCCGCTGCAGGATGGAAGCGAGGAGACTGCTGCAGCTGGGGATGAAGCATCAGAGGCGGCTCCCGCCCGCAGCGGCAGGGCCAGGCTGGAGAGCAGCGCTATGCCGCTCAGCAGCGGCAGCAAGCGGCAGGCCAAGTTTCCCTCGATTGCCTCCATGACAGCTCACCTCAGCCCAGGTTCCATTCGCCTTGGACACTTCTTGGCCTTCTTTGGCTCGGTCCGTTGCTGACACCATGACCTCGCAGCGGGGCTCGACTTTTCGCGGAGGCTCAGCGAGTTCATTGCCGACTACACGCAAAAGAAGTGCGCGGGCTGTCGTGTCGAGGGTACGCAACATACACACACACCCCCCACATGATTCGCTTATGTGCGTCCATACCCAGAGGGGCAGTGCCCGGTGTTGGTCTACACGAGTACGCTGCCTCGCGCACTTGAGACAGTCCGCACGCTGTCGGTTCCTCCGCACTGTACTGACCCCTCCCATTCACTTTCTTCAGCTTCGCTTTCGCTTTCCTTCTCTTCACTCGTTTCGTTTTTTCGGTTCGAACTAAGTAGTACATTCTTGGCGGACCACTGCCTGCAGGCGTCGAGCGATCGAGCAGCCTGAAGATGATCAACACGGGCGTGTGCAGCGGCATGAGCGTGCAGGAAATGATGGAGAAGATGCCCAACGAGTGGGCCGCCTGGCGCGCGGACCCCTTCCGCTACCGCTTCGCCGGTGGCGAGTCCTACAAGGACGTCGTGCAGAACGTGGAGCCCCTTGTCCTCGACCTCGAGCGACAGGTACCACATGTCCGTCCATCGCACGACGACCCAATGCTGACCGTGTTGCGTGTTGCGTGTTGTTGTGTGTGTCGTGTGTGGTTGGTCAAGACAACGCCGATCTTGGTGGTGTCCCACCTGTCGACGCTGCAAGTGCTGTTTGGCTACTTCGTCGGGTGTCCTGTGGACAGCTTCGCGACGCTCTCGCTGCCGCGGCACACGGTGGTGCAGCTCACCCCCAACCAGTACGGCTGGAAAGTCGACCTCATCCCCCTCCACGGCCTCGACGGCAGCGCCAGTCCCGCGGCCGCCGACCACCAGCAACGCTACCACCAGCAGCAACACCCGTTCTATGGCCGAACTGATGCCAGCGACAGCTCCGCCAAACGCGAACACGACGCGCCGAGAGCGACTGCGGAAGGCGAGGGCAGCCTTGTCTGAAGAAAGAAGAAATCTACACACACAGCCACAAGCCACGTACGCTCGAGGTACGCCACATGGGCGATGGACCCACTTCACTGCTGCGTTGGCACGGCGGGCGGCGTGGGTTGGATGAGGGAGAGGTCGGCCCAGATCCCCGATTTGCTGGCGTCGGTGGTGGCCAGCACGATGCAGTAGTGGGCCTGGGTGAGCCGCCACTCCTCCACCTCGTCGAACATCTCTATCCTGTTCAGCCTGGTTACGATGTCGACAAGGTAAGTTAACCGGTCAACTGAGGGGCGAGGTGGTGGTAGGAGTGGTGGTACCGTGCGAGTTCGTCACGGCCGAGGAGGCGATCGCTGATGGCGTTCATGTCGACGACCTGCGCTTCGTCCCAGCCGAGGGCGAGGTAGGCGCTTCGCTGGGTCTCGATGCTGGGACGCGCGTGCAGGCCGTGGAGGTGCACGTTGCGCTCCTCGAGGTTCTTGAGCATCATGCGCCCGAACGCGTCGTCGGGCAGAATCTGCTCGTACGTAACGAACACCGCCTTTTCATACGTAGCCGCCCACCTGCACAACACACACACACACACAACACACACAAATCACGCACCACCGCACGCGCGTTAGACAATGGTACGCAGTACGAAGAGGGAGAGGTAAGCGAATTTGCCTGATTACAGCGGAGCTGTGTTCGTCCTTCATGTAGATCAGCACGCACTCCGACAAGAACAGCGTGGGTATGCTGTGCCGCATATGAGGGAGAAACGCTCCAGTGAGTGCTTTGTTTTTGCGAGGCGGTGTGGTGTGTGGTGTACCTTTTGTCGAGTCCAGCCGTCGTGAGGACCTTGTCCACGTGCTCGATGGAACGCAGGTCTGCGGTGATCAGGTGGTAGTTCTTCGTGTGCAAGCCCTCTGTGACGATTCAAATTCAAGTGTTAACGTGAGGCCAGTCGTGACGGTGAAGCTGAGTCGTAGGAATGTGAACATCGCTCGCGTACCTTCGGTGACGCGAATGCCGGCCTCGTTGTGAGCGATGAGTTCGTGGAGCTCGCGGCACGTTGTGATGATGTTGCTCTTCCGCTTGACCACCTCTCCAAAGTCCAGCTCGTAGAACACCACGTTGTCGCCCAGCCACCCCTCCGACTACGTGCCATGTCGGCGCGAGTGGTTGTCCACACACACACACACACACACACACAACACACAACGCGCGCGCACACGCACACGCATTTGCTCTCGTCTCAGTCACGCCTCTACGGTACATGGCCCAAAGGCGAGCTTACCTTCTTCTGAAAGTAGGTCGTGTCAAATCCAGCGCCCAGGCACACCACCTGCTTGGGCGTGTCGCTCCCGCCAGCCGCAAGGAACTGCCGCAGCACGTTGTGAATCGCCGCCACACGCGTGTAGTACCCTGTGGTCGTGTGTCATGTTGGTGTTGTGTGTGCCGTGCGTGTGTGGTTAGCAAACAGGAATCGCTCAGCCGTGGAGAAGGGGGTGGTGCCTCGGTTGATGAGGGGCGGTCGCCGTGTGGCGCTGGCACCACGCACGAAGTGGTGCAGGAAGTTGTCGCGCCAGTACCCTAACCGCACAGCCGACCTGTCCCCGGAACAGCAGATTGGTATTAGAGATGGAACGCTGAACGCAGCAGTTGATCAACGATGGCAAGAAGGAGAGCATGATACAGTTTGCTGACGGCAGCGTCATCGTTGGTGAGCATGACCGCGATGTCTTCCGCCATGGCCTTGGCTGCGGGCGACCGCGGATCAGCGCCGCTGCCATCGTGGCCCGCAGGTGGCTGCCTTCTCTGTGTGGTTCTCTTGGGCGCCGCAAACGAGAACGTCAGCGCTGGCTTCTCCATGCTGTTCTCCCTCGATACAATCCGCAAGATCTGATTTTGCCTGTTATTTTTTTCTTCTTTTTTCTATTTTCTTTGCTAAAGCAGCATTTTTGTTTTGCGCAAGAGGACGAAGAAGGATAGGATCCGATGAAGGCCCGTTCATCTCTCCTTGCTACGGTTCGTTGTGGTATGCCGATATTTCATGCTCACTCAACTCGAAATCTCTTAATGACAACGTCATCGATTTAATCTCTTTATTTACTTTTTTTAGCTGGTGCCGGCAGACTGCCAGCGCCACGACTCTCCGCCGCGACGCTCGGGGCTGGTCACCTGCGCAGTGGCAGGACTGCGACGGCGACGCTGGCCCGGTGCTCGCTGCGCCCAAGCCACCAGCCATGGCAGCTGTCGTCCGTCCTTCTTCCCCGGAGGGCCTTCACCGCCTCTACCGCGCCGTCTTCGGGCCAGCCCGAGGGCGAGGCCACCAGCCCTGCGCTCATCAAGGAGACCAGTACCCCTCGCCGCACCCACGCCGTGTTGTGCCAACAGCTCACCCACGTTCCCGCACGCACCACACACACCACAACACACACGACACACACACACACGACACACACACACGCGGACAATCAGGCGAGCTGTTCTACCAGCAGTTGTTTGTGGCCAAGGACGAAAAGGCGGCGTTCCACCTCTACAAGATCCTCAACTCGCTGACCAGGAACCGCGCGTTTGCGGTCGAGTTCGGCCAGCACGAGGGCGGACGGGCCATCGACCAGCTCTTCCGGCTGTTCCGGGAGGCGGCCACCACGCACTACTCGCAGGAGAAGATCCTGGCCGTGCTGACCAACCTCGCCCGGCACGACGCGACCCAGCGGCGGGCCATCGCCGTGAGTGGTGCCGAGCCGCTGCGGCAGGCGCTCGTCTGCAAGACCACCCTGCGCGGCGTCGTGGCGCAGGCCGTACAGCTGCTCAACGTTACTCTGCAGAGCAAGGCAGAGGTGCGTGACCACAGCGCTCGCCTGTAGCTGCTACGAATAGAGCTAATGAGCGTGCGGTGGTGCGTGTTGTGTGCCGTGTGTGCGATGGTGCGTGTGCGCAGTTGCCTTCGTCGCTCTTCGAGGGATACGTGCCGGCGACCATGGATCTGATGGTGGACTTTGCGGACAAGCCCGAACTCCAGCTCGACCTCATTCACCTGCTCGGCCTTCTCTCCACCGATTGCGGCTTTGAAGACTACAAGAAGGTACCTACGCATGGTTGGTTGGTTGGTTGGTTGAGCTGTGGCTAACGATTGCGCTCGTTCGCTGTGGCTCGGCCGAGCAGCTCTCGCCATTGGGCGCGGCCATGCTCATCCGCAACATGCAGGCCTACATTTTTGAACCGCAGAGCGATTCGTTCATCGCCAGGCAAATGACCGAAACGCTGCAGGCCCTGCACCGCATCCTGTCCAGACGACCTGCAGGCACCGCCTTCACCCTCTTTCCCCCCTTCGCTCGCTCTTAGTCCCTCCACAACCTGCTACTGTAGTTACTTATACCATCGGCCCGCGCCCAGCAGGTGGAGAGCACAGCGAGGAGGAGAGCAAGCTAGCGCAGGCCTTCCAGAACACATTCCTAGAACACGACAGCAAGGCGCGCTACGCCGTGCTCAACGGGCTCAACTGCGTC